TTGGAACATGATCCGTCACTGCTGGACCTCGCCCTCATCCACCACTGTGAGGATGTCTTTGATATTCAGCATCTTCCCTCACTAGTGAGCAGTGATCATGTTTTACTTTACTTTAAGTTTAGGACACATGGTATGCAATTAGTATCTGCTCCACCCCGTCCCAATATCTGGCAAGCTAATTGAAACTGTGCTGTCTAGACTGATTGGTCGGTCGACGCGGATGTATCGATTTAAGACGAGTGGATTAAGTTTAAGGCCACATTCGAGTCCGTAACATCGCCGTTTATCCCATGATCAGCACGTAAACTATCACATTGCCCTCCATGGATTAATAAGCAAACCCGTAAGCTGTTAAAGCGTAGGAAACTCTTCTGGGACTTATTTTCGTTGAAAGGTTACTCATCATTTAAGCGTGAGTATCAACAATTCAGGGATAAGAAAATCGTAGTTAAATCCCGTACTACTTACAAACGACAGTTGGCATATGAATGCCATACTTGTCCAACACGAATGTTTTGATGTTAAACGGTGACTGAAACGTAGTGATAGTAATTCCTCGTTACTGTTACACGAAAGTTCAGATTTACTTACTGAATCAGATCGTCAAAAGCTAAAACTTTTTCAAACTATTTTAGCGAAGTGTATTCTATGTTTATTGCAACAAATGCTTGTCCCACTCACACCGAGATACCAGCCATTGAATCTGTACAGGTGACTGAGGAAAATGTCCCTCCGTTGATAACTAACCTCAAACCTTGTAAGATATCGAGCCCTGAAGGGTTACATTCACGGCTGGAGTCATCTTTTGCGGACATTATTTCAAAACTGCTCGCGACACACTTCAACATGTCTCTTTCACTCGCTCAACTCCCTAGAGATTGGAAAGACGCTATAGTCAGTCCTATATTTAAGGATCGTCAGAGACAGATCGTATCTAACTACCGGCCTGTCAGTCTTACTAGCATTGTCGTTAAGTTACTTGAAAAGGTAATTCGGGTTAGGTTGCTAAGCCACATAGATTTACACAATCTGTTAGCTCCTGAGCAACACGGATTTCGTAACAAGCGTTCATGCTTGACTAACTTATGTGAGAGAGGATTGGACAGCAGCCTTAGATAAAGGTCTGTCTGTCGATGTGATATTCGTACATTTTGGTGAAGCATTTGACACGGTTTCACACTCAGGTCTCATGCAGAAGTTCACGAGATTCGGAATAATAGATGCTGTGCAGGAGTGAATAGGGAACTTCTTATGTGACCGCAGACAGAGAATGAGGGTCAATAGAAAGTCATCCGATTGGAAGCCGGTCAGAATTGGTGTACCTCAATACACCATCTTAGACCCTCTGCTCTTCATTCTCTACGTTAATGAGTTACCGTTGCTGCTCAGGTCGTCGACACTATTGTTTGCGGATGATGTGAAAATCTCGAGAACAATAAAAAGTGCGGCTGATCATCTGAATTTTCAAGCTAACTTAGACGATTTAGTTAGATGGGATGGAGGTTGGGGCTTAGAAATCAATCATAGGAAGAGTGTACTAATGCATATCAGTCACGGTAATAGTTACCATTGTACTATTGATGGTTAACCTCTCCCACGCGTTCAAGAGCATAAAGACTTAGGAGTAATAACAAGTCATGACTTAAAAACAACTACGCATTGCAAAGCAGCCGCTTTCCAAGGTTTTCGTGAATTATGGTCACTTCGCCTAGCGTTCAAATACTTCGACGAGGAAGCGTTTCGAACTTAATATCCCACATATGTAAGACCACATTTAGAGTACTGTATCCAAGCAGCTAGCCCGTATCTAGTAAAGGATACTAACTCACTTGAGCGTGTCCAGCGTGTGGGAACAAGATTAGTGAAGGGTCTTTATAAACTCCCTTACGATGAGTTTTCAAAATGCCTAAACCTTTCCCACCTGTCGTAGTGTAGGACGCAAAGTGAGATTTTACTGGCATTTCGTATCTCTATGATTTGGGTGTTAATATATCGTATCTTTTTGCTCCTTCCAGTACTAATAACCTCTGAGGTCATAGCAAGAAGGTTCACAAACCGCGATCTAATAAACTCAAAGTAGGGTCTTGTTTTTCTCATCGAGTAGTCAATGACTGGAACGCCTTACCCGAACAAGTAGTATCAGCTCCATCAGTGAATATTTTCAAGGAGAAGCTGGACCTTTACTGGAAGGCAACCTGTCAGGATTAACATAGATTCACCAACCTAACATCCTTATTACTGAAGACTGAACATAATGTGGGGCCTCTAAAATTAGTTTTAGCTATCAAACTTTTATTTTTCTCTGAAATGCAGATAATATATCATTTCACCCGATCTCAACCAAGAAACATTTTTTAAATGGCTGTCATGATAAATTGCCGGATGCACATAAAGTAATTATCCTTTATCGTTCAGGAGGTTAATGATCCCTGCAAAATGCGGTTTCTTGAAGAACACTTAGAAGATAAGGGCTATAGAGAACATAAGTGTGGCAGATTAATTCAATTCGTTTGACATCAAACTGATCACAGTTCGTCTAAATGAGTTGGCTGAAAGCTAAAATTGAGTCGCCCGAGCCGTACAGAAATAACGATGTTGTGGCGTCAATTTTTCACCTCTATTGGTCCGTATTCTCTTGAATTCTAAAGGTTCCTCAAGTTTGAAAGTAATAAAATACCCCCGATTTGAAAATTTATAAAAATTATCTTAAATCAAGATACAGGGCACAAAATTCAGAATATCAACGTAACAAATGTTGTCAACTGTATCAGAAAACAGTCATGGGGTGTCAGTAAACACTCGGTAATTAAATATACAGACTAAACGACAAGAAAAAGTCCGTTCCGTTAACATCATAAAGAGACTTGATTTAATGAAGGCGAATATTATTTGCTGGAATTCCCAAGTATTTGGCACGCATAGACACACAATAGCTATTATAATCAAGTAAGATTGAACAAAAACGTAAAAATGGTATTTGCGTGCAAGAAACACCTAGCAGCAATGAGAGTGTGACATTTTTAGATATAGTAAATCAAAACGCTAATTTTTTTATGGTGTGTTCGAAGCCAGATAAAGTAAATGTAGGAAAATCCGATTTTTCAGTATCAAACTTGCAAGTAGTGATTGATCTATTCAAACAAGAAGGGCATGTTTTGATATTTGGTGTAACATTCAGGATTGTACAGACTAGAAATTTGAGTGTTTCTCTGCTAGATAGGCATTTAATGGAGTGATCCACTTAGTGTGACACTGTCACCGGATTTGAGAGCAAACAAAATAGCCAGGCAATGTGAGGGACCATGACGACCAGTCAAATAATTACGGAACTGAGGAGATACAAATTGGAAGTGCTTGAAATGAGTAAAAACTATTGGAACCAAGATAGATAGAATAGAGTAGATTCGGCAGAGATACTGTTGTACTTTGATCATGAAAAAGAGGATGCTTCACCCACACACTGGGAGTTGCACTGATGGTAAGAACTGGGAGAAAGGGACGAGAATGGCGAGAAATTTTCAGATTTATGTGCCTTCAATAAAATGACCATAAATGACCCCATATTCCCCCACAAACACAAACACAAATCTTCATGTGTCTCACTGGATCACAATACAGAGAACCAGATCAAAAATATTTGAACCACTACAAAATTCAGAAGATCCATGTAAGACGTGAGATCCAAGAGAGAAATCGACAAGTAGAAATGCGTGGAAGACCTAGCAATAAAAAGAAATTACAAAGGTTCAATACAGCCTTCCTTCGAAATACTGACCAACTCAACGAATTGAAGACAGCTCTCAACAACAGATTCCAAGCATTACAAGATCTACTCAAAGAAGAGGAAACTACTATGGAGGACAACTCAAAAGGTGTTAACGAAGCAGTAACTTCAACGTGTCAGGAAGTGCTGGGACGCAAGAAGCATCATCGTAAGGAATGGATCTCTATCGAAACCCTGGACAAAATTAGAGAAGGGAAGAACATGAAGACAACAATTAGCAACAGCCGAACGCGAACAGAGAAAACCAAGGCACACGATGAATGCACAGAACCAAAATAGCGAGTGAAGAGGAGCATCAGAGCCGACAAGCAGAAATACGTGGAAGACCTAGCAGTGATAAAGGAATAAGCTGAAGGAGAAGGAACTTTGAGACAAATATATAATACAACGAAGAAACTGGTAGGGAAATATGGTAAACCAGAGAGGCCGGTCAAGGACAAAGAAGGCAAACCAATCACCGAGATTCAAGGTCAGTGGAACAGGTGGGCAGACCACTTTGAAGAACTCGTGAGTAGACCGGTCCCAATGAACCTATCGGACAACGAAGCAGCATACACTAACCTCCCTGTTTATATTACTCCATCAACAAGCGAAGAAATCACGATAGCCATCAGACAAATCAACAATGAGAAAGCAGCACGACCTGACAACATACCAAACGAAGTATTGAAGTTAAACACAAGGTCAACTGCAAAGATGCTCCACATTCTCTCCAGAAAGAACTGCGAAGAACAAGTACCACAAACAGACTGGAAGGGAGCACACCTCATCAAGATATCAGAGAAAGGAGATCTCAGCAAATGTAAGAACTACACAGGCATCATATTACTATCGGTACTAGCAAACGTTTTCAACAGACTGATGCTTAGCCAGATGAAATATTCAATAGACGCCAAACATCCAGGTCAACAGACCGGATCCCATGAGGATCTGTCATGCACAGACCACATCGCGACACTACGGATCATCGTTGCACTCATGAAACGATGAGTCCTCAAGAGAGGGAAGTCTTTGTTCAGTTCCTGGATTTATTGGTCATTTATTAATACTTTCCGAAATGTTTGAACACAATCACATGCATTACAAGCCAGCTATTTATAATTTTCGTGATATAGTAGTTTTCAAACTGTCGGATAGGATGGTGCTCTGGCTGTACAGAAAAAAAGTGTCTGACAAGTTTATTAACATCAATTCCAGAAGAGTAATATTTTTAGCACTAATGTTGCTCAAAGCCGAATAGATAAATATAAGCTTGATAAGAAAGCACTAATGATAGTAGCCCACCTGCTGACAAAGGAGACCCAATACTTGTAGCCGCTCCAGGAGGACCTGAATGTGGATCGCCACCTAAATTCGCTTTTGTTCTCATCGCTAGAACTTCACGGGCTGAAACGAAGAAAACATGTCCCTCTGCCTCTGTACGTGTGCACACTTTTAATTCATCAACAAGAAACGCTACACAACGTTGCAGGTGTTGCTCACGTACCTAAAAAGATAAGTAATTTAAGTAAAAATTATGATAATTTAGAAAGTAATATTCTTGGAAATTATAGTTAGTGTAGGAAAATTGAAATCATGTAAGTGGAATCTACATATGTATATTTTTATTATACTGAGAAAGTGACAGAATAAAAAGATGGTTCAAAGCATATAGATATCCTTACCTAAGTTGGGAATTTAGCTACTGCGTTATGGTCTATGGTTCCAATCACGCTAAGAATACGGCCTTTATCTTTTGATGAAGTTGAAAGATGGTCGCATTATATAGCGAATAGACGAAAGTTGAAAATCTAAACTATTAAACGTCAGACTCAGTGACTAGATGGTATGCGCATCGCAAGACCTGGAGGTCATGTTCCAACGCGTATTTAATTCTTAAGAGTCTCGAACAAGGAGAAAACATCTCCACGAATCATGGTTTTCACTGAGCTATTGATTGATGTTGATCCATTACAAAATTTAATTGGTAAAGGGGTGTTTATAAACTTCAATCACGTTACCGTAGGTCTTGTAAAAGGAAAATAGTCATTATTATTTGTCTTGCTACCATAGCTCTCTTCCTAAAAAAAAACTTTAGAAAAGTGGGTCTTAATGATCTTGTTGTGACTAAGCTTAATTGAAAACTTTTTAGTGGACTCACAATAAGTATTCGAAAGTTTAGAATATAACTAAAACAAGAAAAATGTGCACATACCTCATTAATATATTCAATTTCGTTTGCTGAAGCATCCCAACGATTATTAATGATAAAAATATTTGGTTTGGATAACTTTTGACTGACTTTATGGAAGAAATCTTTCTCCTGAAAAATTTAGTACACAAGAAGAACTTTTATCTGAAGGAAAAAACGAATTCCGGTTACTCTTATTTAAAATATTTGAAACAAATAGTGGAGATTAAAGCTTTTCCACAAAAAATTCAAATAAAATACGATTCATTTAGCAAGGTGCAAGTTCATATACTCCACCTTTAGATACACTTTCGGTGTGAGAGTTAATGACACTAACCGAATGATCGAATTAAATTGGTTAGAACGGAGTTCAGATTTACAAACTAACAGCTGAAAAGCTTAATGTTTTAACTATTAGATTACTATAATCTTTGGCTTTAAATAATTTATTACAATGATTAGCAATACAAAACAAACTGAATTCATACGGTGTCCTTTAAAAATAACTCAAAGAAGTAACATTCACAGTGCGTTTTTAATTATCGATAGTGAAACTAATACTGATCTTTATAATAGTCAATTTACAATTAAATAACCTTCAAGTACATATATATCACTATGACCACATCATTTTTGTATATTAAAAGATATACAACCGTATTGATCTTGGTAAAATTACCCCTTTCTTTACACTCTATATCTCTACAACCTCATTGTTATTGTGTGGTGCATATGTATTTGGTGCCCCTTTTGTACCAATGTGTTCAAATAAATAAGTAAATTACCAATCAAAATAAAATATGTTAATTACTTACAGCTTGCATTAATGTTGACTCAGCATTAGCAACAAGAATGAAAACATCCGCATCCAAACAGTGAAGATCAATCCATCTATCCATATCTGGATCAACATTAATCCCTGGACTATCTAGTAGAACAACATCTTCACGTAACAGCCTACAATATGAACTTGGCCAGAATATTTTTAGTAGTGTATCTGTGGAAAGTTTGACACTGCTTAATGCATGGGCTAACTGACCGACAGAATCAATAGGACGAGCCTGAGTAAAGAAAAATTAACTTGATTAAGAGATTGTGCCAGTACAACTGGGACTATTTTAATTATTGGGTTAACTTAGCAATAGATTTAAGTAGTAAGTTATGAATCAGATATTTCGGAAAATTATACGTTCCACGAAAGTAAATGAACAAAAATCTTTTTTTAGGATTATCGTGCTATGTTCCTATTTTTTGAGAATGGTAGAATATAAATGATGAATGCACTTGCGCTACTGTACATGGTTCTGAAATGTCAATTAACGTCTTCGATCACTGATTAGTTGTCGTGAAGAACTCAATATGTAGCTTATACCTGTCAATAGTAGTCAATGATTGTATGAACTGATAACGCCTTGATATGTCCCACCCTAAATTTCTTCCAACCTATTCCTATCTCACTGAAACAGGTGAAATAAAGTAAAGCTCAAGTAGAAAACTACAAGTTGTAAGATGAATGTCATAATATAGAATTTTAGTACACCCACAAAACTAAAACAAGTTTTAAGACAAAAAAATATTTATATTTCAGACTATCCACTAAAATGGAATCGACTTCCCATTAAAACAACAAAATAGAAGTCATCTTTCAAAAGTGCTAATTAGATTAAAGAGGAAGAATGTATTTGTAAAATCTCGGCGAATGAATTTGGAGTAAAGCCAACGTTTCGCCTGGCAATCTGGTCTAAGCTTTTTCAAGGAAATATAATCAAGCATCGGAATTATCGAATATAAATAGGGACATGGTTATTCGGTTCACTGTATACTGAATATGCCATCCAATCAATGTTAACAATGTTTAAAGTAGGTATTTGCATTAGTATGTAAGAGACATGTGATGTGAAACGAAGTGTTAAGACAACAGATTGTGTGTATACGTAAGTGGTGTGAGAAGAAATTTCATTTACTATATATTGTCTCTGGTCAGTGAGCTTTAAGAAAACATAATTTTTATAAATGATATGAATCAAAAATGTCACAGTATGCATAAAATGAGGATAAATAAACAAGATAAAGGAATGAATCCAAAGAGGAAGAATGTAATTGTAACTGAATGTTTCTGTTATTTTAACGTTCCAGTTAATTTTTTAACATTTAATTTCATTTTATGTTGTGTATTGATTTACGTGCCTGGGAGGCCTCATCAGTATACAAGGAGGTCATGATGCAAATGTTAAGGCATTTATTGCCAAAGCAGCAACAGCATTCCTATAATTGAAGAACATATTGAACAGTAACTTAACAGTACTCACAAATGTGGACAACCAAACTGTTTGTTCCCTGTGGAGGAGGGAATGCATTGTGTTGAATGCAATAAATGGTTTCACAAAATGTGCACCCGTTTAAGTCTCACTGCATATAAAATATGTTCGAAGCCTAACTCACATTGCCTTTGCATGTTTTGCTGTACCAACAAAGCATTGCTAATACAGGAGGCTATGAGCCTATTGGCTTTGGCCTGTAAGAAGAATGATGGCATATGCGCTGACAACACGGGCACTGACATTGACGAATGTGTCAGTGTTGTTACGCAACGCCTCAAACAATCGACTCTGACCAACGTAAAAGTGAAATCTCCGTTGATATTAACAGGGGGATTACTACTGTGGTGTGAGCTACTTATATTGACATAAGTAGTATATAACGTGCGTTAAAAGAACGTAATGCTCGGCAGCAAAAGATGGCGAAGACCAAGAAAGGTGAAGCAAGAACATAATGGAATTTGTAAGAAAACCTATGAACAATGGAATGGGAGACAATGGATTAGTGTTTGCAGCTTGAACAGTACAGTTTGATATGATGTATTGATAATTTGCAAATTGACGATTGACTTTATGGTATTCAGATTTTGTTGAGATAGTCTGTAATTTTCGTGCTACATACATCCGTTTGTCCCCACCCGTGTTCTTGTTCACTACACTACCACCTAGTACTGACATTGTTAATCATGCACCTTTAGTGGGAACCGAAGATCTGGATAAAACAGCCACCGTCCCAAATATTCCCAGTGTTATGAGGGATGAAAAATGAACTACGGTACGTAGGAAACGAAACGAAAAGAAAAAAGCTGTAAGCAGTACGCAGGTAGTTAGTAACTCACTGGTGGACTCAAATCGTTAGCCACGAATTGCACTACCAAGATCTGATCGTAAGAGTGAAACCCATCCTGGCGTAACTGAGAAGAAAAATCCAATAACATCGAATATTATTGTGAGCAAATTGCGGGGGTCAAATGACCCTGATCCGAAAATTAGACACGCGCATGACTTAGAAAAGCTAGGAGAATACATTCGTAGTATTTTACCGGATAACTCCAAAGGAGTTCAGGTTAAAAGGTTGGTAAGAATAGGCAAGAGGACCGAGGACAATGTTGAACCCCGTCCATGCAGACTCCTTAAGGTAATCCTAGGATCGGAGAAGCAACGGGATCTCTTGTTAAATAGCGCTCGTTGTCACGACAATTATGACATCCGAGTTAGACCTGACATATCTCTCGAAGATAGAATAAAAAGGAAGAAAGCACTAGCTGAACTTGAAACCCGTCGGCAAAACGGCGATGAAAATCTCCGGCTAGTGGGTTTTCGGATAGTCAGGTCTTAGAAGCGAATGCTACCAAGGCCTGTGTGGATAGGCTGTTCTACTTAGGAGTTTTATATGCCAACGCTCGTAGTCTACGAAATAAGTTCTATGAACTAGAAGCACTAGTGGACAGGTTAAAGCCACTCATAGTAGCAGTGACAGAAACTTGGTTAGTCTATGACTTAGACATTACTCCAGAAGTATCCGGATACCATTGCATCAAGAGTGATAGACATAAATGTAGGAAAGAAGGCGGCGTCCTGTTATACATGACCAATAGCATAAATATCCGCTCCTCTACTAGCGAATCCCATGATAGCGGCACTTGTGAAGTCATTAGCTGTAAGTTGTATATAGGATGTAGAACATTTATGCTAGGTGTCATCTATCAGAGCCCAATCTGCCTAGCTGATGACTTTGTTTTAGAGCACATTCATCTTGGAGTGAAAATACCAGATGTTTGATAATAGGAAACTTTAACGCACCTGATATAAGCTGGACTGATATGACCACAGAAGGATCTATAAACTCCTTTGATAGTAAGTTCTTGATAACAATAATGGAGCATGCACTAGTACAGTATGTATCCCAACCCACACGTTCTGGTGTTAACCAGGGTTCTTCTCTGCTGGATTTGGTAATCACTCATGAGACTGAGGGTATTGTCGACTTGAATATTCTCCCGCCGTTAGTGAACAGCGACCACGCTGTTTTGTCATTCACGTTTCGAACTAGGGACATGTTATACGATCAGGTCACACCTCGCCCAAATGTATGGAAAGCTAACATATCAGCCATTCAGGAATGTGCTACCAAGACAAATTGGTTAGTAGATACTAGCATATCAGTTGAAGAAGCATGGTCTGTATTTAAAGGTAAATTTAGACTATTTACGTCCCCGTTCATACCATACCTGGTACCGCGAAGACCGAATAATAGTCCACCATGGATAACTAAAACGGTCAGGAAACTCCTTAGAAAAGGAAGAATCACTGGGATATGTTTATCTCTACTGGCTTAGACCAATACAGATCCAGTTATTGTAAGATTAGGAATGCCTGTAAAGCGTTAATAAGCAAAACTAGACTATCATACGAAAAACAATTGGTTAGGAATTCTAGATATAGTCCGGATCGGTTATTCTCGTATATGAAAAGGAGAACTAAGAGAAGCGATGTAATTCCATCACTTTTGATACGAAATAATCCGTTAATCTTAGCAGAGAATGATGTCGAAAAGGCTGAAGCTTTATCGGAATATTTTAGTAAAGTGTTTTCTACCGGTGATGAAGAACGACCAATGATTAACTGTGATTACGGCGGCTCACTGATAGACCCTGTAGTAATTGAAAAAGATACTGTTTTAAAGCTACTTCAGCATCTCAGACATGATAAGTCCAGTGGTCCTGATGATATTCATCCTAGGATTATGAAAGCCAAATCAGATGTAATCTCTGAGCCATTAGTGATACTGTTTGACATGTCTCTGAGACAGCCCCAACTGCCCAGAGACTGGAAAGACGCCATAATAAGTCCGGTGTGTAAGGCTGGGGGGTAGGGATTTAGTTAGTAACTATAGACCCGTTAGCTTAACCAGTTCAGTTTTAAAACAGATGGGAAAAATCATTCGGATATCTGTTATAAACTATGTTGAAGGGTAAAATCTTTTCTCCAGGGCACAACATGGTTTTCCGAGAGGCCTATCATGCTTGACAAATCTTCTCATTGCACGAGAAGATTGGGCTGCTGAAAAACATCGGAATATTCTTGTGGATGTGATCTTCATAGATCTAAGTAAAACCTTCGATAAGGTTTCCAACTCTGATCTTAAATTCAAACTAAAACGTTTTGGAATCCATTATACAGTTATAGATTGGATAAGTAACTTTCTCCATGACAGGAGACAAAGGTTAAGGGTTAATGGGGCTCTCTCCTCGTGGGTACCTGTAAAAAGTGGAGTCCCTTAAAGGTACAATCCTCGGTCCTCTTCTCTTTTCTTTTTATGTGAATGAATTATCAGCTATTGCAAAACCATCCGTTCTACTCTTCGCTGATAACATAAAAAGTTGGAGACGCATACACAATATGTCGGATAGGATAGTATTACAAAATGATCTTAGCTCATTGATGGCATGGTTAGATAGATGGTCACTAGAAGTAAATCCTAATAAGAGTGTAGTGATGCAGTTAAATAACTCTGATGAATCGTATGACTATACACTACGTGGATTCGTGCTACCAAAAGTAAGAAACTATAATGATCTAGTAGTCATATTAAGCAATGATCTCAAAACGACTAGTCACTGTAAGGCTGCTGCCGCGAAAGGTTATAGGGTATTATGGTCAATTCGTAGGTCTTTCCAGTATTTAGATGATGAAATGTTTAGATTACTATAACCGATTTATGTGCGACCACATTTAGAATACGGAATTCAAGCAGCATGCCTTTGTTTCAAATATGAAGCAGATATGCTAGAAAGAGTCCAAGGACGAGCTACTAAGATGGTACTAGGTCTATCTGGCCTATCTTATGAAGACAGACTGAGACACCTTAACTTATTTCCGTTATCTTACCGTAGAATAAGGGGTGATCTAATATTGGCCTATCGTATACTGAACGATGACCTTGGTATTAACATGTCATATCTTTTGCTTCCGTCTAGAACCGATCATTTGAGAGGACATTCGAAGAAAGTTCAAAAACCTAGATCAAACCGTTCACGTCTGGAGTTCCGTTTCTCGCACCGAGTAGTGAATTACTGGAATTCTCTACCGGAACACGTAATATCAGCACCATCTGTTAATATACTCAAAACGAGATTGAACCCCCACAGTAATACAAACTGCAAGGATTAATATAGGTCGAGAGACCTCCTATCCTTATT